ACTTGCCGCGAGGAAGAACGCGTTGAACGGACTGAGCTACGGCGACTCCGGCTGCTCCAGAAGCGACTCCGCTCCGGCCCGTTCCCCTCGGTCTGCACCATGGACCTCTCTGGGCCTGACGACGGAGACGATTCCGTCTCCGGTGACGACTCCGCCCTGCCTGATCTGATGCCGGACTCCGACGATGATGAAGACGATGGTCAGCTTGAAGATGGTGACCGCATCTTCTACACCTCGTTCCGCCCCTCGGAGGAGATACGCGCTGGCAGTACTGTCTCACAGCGCCTGGCCGAAGCCTTCGCCAGGAACTCCGCCCCTGCGCCCTCCGAGATCCCGGACTGGGCTAAGGAGTTTCAGGACGTCTTCAACAAGGAGTCCTTCGACACGCTACCGGAGCGGAGAGCCTGGGACCACGCCATTGAACTCGTCCCCGACGCTAAGCCCACCAACTGCAAGGTGTACCCCATCTCGCCCCTCGAGCAACGCGAGCTCGACGTGTTCATCGAGGAAGGGCTTTCGACGGGCCGGATTCGCCCCTCCAAGTCTCCGATGGCGTCTCCGGTCTTCTTCGTCAAGAAGAAGGACGGCGGACTCCGCTTCGTCCAGGACTACCGTGCTCTCAACGCGATGACTGTCAAAAACCGGTACCCCCTTCCGCTGATCAACGACCTCATCAACCGGCTCAAAGGCGCTCGTTACTTCACCAAACTCGACGTCCGTTGGGGCTTCAACAACGTCCGGATCAAGGAAGGTGACGAGTGGAAAGCGGCTTTCCGGACTAACCGAGGCCTGTTCGAGCCCTTGGTGATGTATTTCGGCCTGACAAACTCTCCCGCTGACGTTCCAAACGATGATGAATGACATTTTTCAGGACCTCATCCTCTCCGGAGACGTCATGATCTACCTTGACGACATCTTGATCGCCCATTCCGACCTCCGGAAACACCGGCAGATTGTCCAGGAGGTCTTACGGCGACTCCGGGAGCACAAGTTGTACCTTCGAGCGGAGAAGTGGACTTTGAAAAATCGTCAATCGAGTACCTCGGAGTCATCATCTCCCACAACCACGTCGAAATGGACCCCGTCAAGGTTGCAGGCGTCTCCGCTTGGCCGACTCCGGAAAACAAGAAGGACATTCAGCAGTTCCTTGGGTTCGCTAACTTCTACCGCAGGTTCATTCGGGACTTCTCGACCCTTGCGCGCCCTCTTTTCGTGCTCACCAAGAAGGACCAGCAATGGACTTGGGGCGACGCGGAGGCCTCCGCGTTCCAAGCGATCAAGGACGCGGTCACCTCGGAACCGGTCCTGGCGATTCCGGACGACACACGGCCTTTCCGACTCGAGGCGGACAGCTCTGATTATGCGACGGGGGCGGTTCTTTCACAATCCGCCCCGAACGGGAAGTGGCACCCTGTAGCATTCTATTCCAAAAGCTTAAATGATGTCCAGCGCAACTACGAAATCCACAACAAGGAGATGCTCGCGATCATCCGCGCACTCGAGGAGTATAGACACTTCCTCGAGGGCGCCGCGCACCCTGTCGAGATTTGGACTGACCATAAGAATTTGGAGTACTTCAGGAAGACGCAGCACCTCAACCGGAGACAGGCCCGGTGGTCTCTGTACCTCTCCCGGTTCGACTTCACGCTGCACCACAAGCCTGGCCGCGATATGGGTCGGCCTGACGCCCTCTCCCGGAGACCCGACCATGGAGTCGATTCCGACAACTCCGACGTCGTCCTTCTGCGGCCTGAACTCTTCCACGTCCGCGCACTCGAGGGCGTTTCCGTTTCCAGTCCCGGCTCTGAACTCCTCCGTGACATCCGTGATGCCCTCTCCGGTGAGCCTGACCTGGAGGAGCCCGTCGCACTAGCGGCCCGGCAACTTCTTAAGGTTCAAGGTCAAGCTCGAGGCCCCCGCTCCTCACGTTCTGACGAATGGGCCGTCTCCGGCGGTCTTCTCCATTTCCGAGGAAAGATCGTCGTACCAAAAGACAAGGACCTCCGGAGACGCATCATCGAGCTCTGCCATGACACCCGAGTCGCCGGACACGCAGGTCGTTTCAAGACCCTGGAGTTGGTCTCCCGGAACTACTGGTGGCCTCAGATGTCTCGCCATATCGGCCGGTATGTTGCGACCTGTGACTTGTGCTGTCGCACCAAGGCACTCCGGAGACTGCCCCACGGAGAACTGCACCCCACGGAAACGCCCCCGAACGCTGGCATACCGTCTCCGTCGACTTCATCGTAGAGCTTCCCGAAGCCCATGGGTACGACGCGATCATGGTCGTCGTTGACACCCTCGGAAAGCGCGCCCACTTCTCAGAGTGTCATACGACGGTCGATGCAGTAGGGGCAGCCCGCCTCTACTACCGGAATGTCTGGCGGCACCATGGGACTCCGGAGAAGTACGTCTCCGACCGCGGCTCGCAGTTCATCGCGGACTTCACCCGAGAACTTTGGCGTCTAATCGGCCTCAAGCCCGCCACGTCTACCGCGTACCACCCGCAGACAGACGGTCAGACAGAGCGCGTCAACCAGGAGCTGGAGCAGTACTTGCGGATCTTCACCAACTACCAGCAGGACGACTGGGATGAGCTGATTCCGGCCGCGGAGTTCGCCTACAACAACCACGTTCACTCCTCCACGCAGCAGGTCCCCTTCATGACGGACACGGGACGGCTCCCGCGCATGGGCTTCGAACCCGGAGTCCGTTCCGCCATGGAGTCAGTGAACGAGTTCCGCGACCGGATCGCCACTGGTGTTGCTGAAGCCAAGGCCGCGCTCACTAAGGCCAAAGAGGAGTACAAGCGCTACTACGACCGGAGACGGACTCCGTCTCCGGAGTTTAAGGTTGGCGACCGTGTTTGGCTGGATGCCTCTGACATCAGGACGACTCGCCCCTCGGAAAAGTTCTCCCATCGCCGCCTTGGACCGTTCAAGATAGTCGCGGAGATCAGCAAAGGTGCCTACAAGCTCGACCTCCCTCCGCGCTACGAAGCTCCACCCGGTCTTCCCCGTCGTCAAGCTCGAGCTCGCTCAGGACGACCCCCTTCGACGGACGCCCGGCTACGACCAGCCCCCTCCGGACCTCGAGGACGGAGTCCCGGAGTGGGAAGTAGAGGAAATCCTGGACGCAAGGGTGAGGTATAAACGGCTGAACTACTTCGTCAGATGGAAAGGCTACGACGCATCGCACGACCAATGGGGTCCGCTTCGACCGCGTCTTCGCCCCGGAGAAAATTGCGGAGTTCTATCGTAAGTACCCTGGCAAGCCCACGACACATCGCCTCCGCGACCTTCGACTCGATTCCGTTCCAGTCTATGCGTCGGGACGCCGCATTCAAAGGGGGGTGATGTCAGGGGAACCTCCCTTTCGGCCCCTCGGAGACGCCTCCGATTCCGGTCCGACTCCGGTTCCGTCTCCGGTCCGGCCCTCCATCTCGCCCGCACAATCACCGATCCGTCAACGCCCTCCCGACGGTCGCCCTGGGACCTCGCCTGCGACGCCGCCCAAGCCTTCTGTGCCCGACAGCGGCAGCTACGGACAAGCAGTATGTAGTCAGCTACCTAGCAGGCGGACCCTTAGAGTTTCTTCTCTTTGGATCCTCCCCTGCTAGGTCAGCTTCATTTGTATTCGCTTACCAATGTTCACGCCTTTGGATCCTCCCCTGCTAGGACCTTGATCTCAGGCCTCCGGGGTTGCCCTTACATTCTCATACTATGAATGGTCTTCTTGCTTCAACCTCCTAAACCAATATACATACTCATAACATACTCATAACATACTATCAATATTGTAATGTGGTTATAATTTCCAAAAAAGGCAATTCACAACAGACATGTGATTGAACAGCCCCCTTTAAATATCATCTAACAGAGAGATGTGAATAGAGCCTTACATAATCTTGGTACTGAACCATAACTAAGCCAAAAGTTTGTTGGAGTAGGATCAAATATTATAATAAGTTATTAGATAATATTTCACATTATTATTATTATATGATATTATGGATATATTCTGCTGCAGAGGACCATATCATGATATTATTATTATTATAATATCATAATAGGCCAGCACTAACTTCTAAGTGATTGTAAGGGCAACCCCGGAGGCCTGAGATCAAGGTCCTAGCAGGGGAGGATCCAAAGTGTGAATATTAGTAAGCGGATACAAATGAAGCTGACCTAGCAGGGGAGGATCCAAAGAGAAGAAACTCTAAGGGTCCACCTGCTAGGTAGCTGACTATATACTGCTTGTCCGTAGCTGCTGCTATTGGGCACAGAAGGCCTGGGCGGCATCACAGGCAAGGTCCCAGGGCAACTGTCGGGAGGGCGTTGACGGATCGGGAGTCGGAACTGGAATTAAACCAGAATTGGGACCGCGTCGCTGAGGGGCCAAAAGGGAGGTTCCCCTGGCACAAAGCAGCGAAAAAGGCTATTGTTTTGGACCATTGTTTCAGAATCGGGATCGTGTCGCCGAGGGGCCAAAAAGGGAGGTTCCCCTGGCACAAAGCAGCAAAAAAGGCTATTGTTTTGGACCATCGTTTCTTATGTATAAATTCTGCTTAGGAGAACATTTTTTGGCTGAAACCCCAGTGTGACTACTGTAAGAGCAATCCTGGGAGGCTCACAATAAGAGTCCTGGCAGGGGAGTGAAGGAGAAGAAAATCCAATATGCAACATATTTTTTTCATTAGAGATCATCAGCACTCAGTTTTGTGAAATAATTCAGAGTGAGAGATCGATCTACTGATGGGAAGAATTGGACGGCAGGTTCAAACATGAAAATCAATAGGTTTTACTAGGAAATCTATAATTTTTTGAAAGAAAAGCCTTGGCATTCTGGAATTCAGAGGCCAGTTGAAACATTCTGGAGCCTGTTTTTTTTGCGGCTGCTGACTGTACTTGTTGCTAGATTGGGACGCCGATAATTATCCGCGGTTACGGCAGGAGGGCCTCGACCGTCGGCGAGCCGGGTCGGGTGCGCGAGTTGCCGGCCGCCTTCTGTTCTGCTCCTCCATCATCGTTGGCTGGGTGAGACACCTCCAGAGACACGCATCGGCCAGGGAGAACTGCGCCCGGCGGAGAGGCTTACCACCAGGGCCACGTCAGCACCCTGTGCGTTGCCCGTCGCTGCCACGCACCCTCTGCGACTGCGTGCCGTATACTGTCCCCGATCCACGCCCGTCCGCCGACCGATACGAGCCCCAAGGCCACCCCCGATTACTTATCGACGATCCGATGTGTGTCGCGTTCTGGACGCTCGACGACCCCGCGTACGCCCTGTGCGCCCCTTTCTCTCCTCTCCCCTTACCCCACTGACTGAGACTGCACAGAATCCTCGCGGCGAACCGGGACGAGTTCCTCGCGCGCCCGGCCCTCCCCGCCGCGCTCCACACCGCCTTCTCCCCCTCCCCTTCCGCCTCTTCTTCTTCTTCTAGTCCTCCCATCCCGGTTATCTCCGGCATCGACGTGCAAGCCGGCGGCACCTGGCTCGGGCTCGCCCCCTCCACCGGCCGCCTCGCGCTCCTCACCAACATCACCGAGCCGCCGCCCGCCCCGCCGCCGCCCGCCTCCCGCGGCGCCCTCGCCGCGCACTGGCTCGCCGCGCCCGGGCCGGACGCCGCGCTGGACGTAGGCAAGGTGTACCCGCCCGGCGGGGCGTACGCGGGGTTCAACCTCCTCGTCGTGCAGGCCCGCCGCGGCGAGGCGGGGGAGGGCGCCGGGGTGCACGTGCCAGCGGGGGCGGCGCACCTCGTGTCGAACGGCGGCGCGCATGGCCGCGTGGCGAGCCGGGCGCTGCGCGCGGACGAGCACGCGCTCGGCGCGATGTCGAACGGGATCCACGTCGCCGGCGGCGAGGGCGGGCCGGCGCCCGCGGGGGAGTGCTGGCCGAAGGTCGTCGCGGGCCGCGCGCTGTTCCGCGCCGCGCTCGCCGACGTCGCGCGCGGTGACGGGGAACAAGGGGATATGCAGCTGGCGGAGGCGCTGTTTGGCGTGCTGCGGGCGCCGCCGGGCGCCGCCGCCGCGGCGGCGGGAGGAGCTCCGGAACGCGGTGTGCGTGCCGCCGCTGCCGGTCGGGCCCGGCGGGTGGTACGGGACGCGGACGGCGACGGTGGTGCTGGTAAGGCGCGACGGGCGCGGCGTGCTGGTGGAGCGCGATGTGTGGGGCGTGGACGAGGCGGGGGGGCTGAGGGAGGGGAGCAAGGCGGGGCAGAGGGTGCTTAAGTTCGAGATGTTGGGCACTGGTGGGAATGAGGGTTAGGATTTCTTTTTTTTCGGTTTCTTCCTGTCTCGTCTCGAATCTTGTATTTAGATTACAGGGTCTTGCATAATGGAATGCAGTCCGATTTTTGATTTCTCGCCATTTTTGATTGATTTTTGGCATAAGTGTGCCATCGGCTGGCATTCCCGAGCCTTTCCGAGCCCCCTTATGCCTGATTTCAGCCCAAAACAGGTGGCAGCTGTCACACAAATCCAAAATCACGACTGCACTCCATTATGCAAAAGTCTGTAATTCGCACTGCGAGTGCAGATAAATTGTGATTCCAGGGCAATGCCAGGACAGCACCACGCTGAGCCCTCTGCACGCGCAGCCTGAGGTGCATTTGCAATTACCAGTCCCCCGCAAATTGCACGCTCTGCTCCCGCCTGGCGACCACTGGCATGCTGTCGACGGCGCCAACCCACAGGCCCACACACACGCCGACACCGCGCGTCGGGCAACTCTGCCCAGTGATACATTGCGGCGCAGAGTCCACATCCAAGTAAATTAAGCGCGTCCGCACCCGCCGTGCGCCACTCGCACGGCCGCGGACGTCCGTGCGGCGTGCGCTGAAGCCTGAGCATAACATTGGCATTAATAGTATTAATTTGGTATTAATAGTATCAATAATAATAATAATCAGCCCCGGATGCAGAGCTGGACGTCGCGGCCAGTGGCGCGGCCGACAGTCTTCTATGGCAGTCCAATTGCACATTTAATTTTTACCGCGCGCTCTTGATGTTGCGCGCTCTTTTGGGCCGGATTTAGTGATTTTCCCGGTAAATCACGGATACCAAAAGATGGCGCGGGAAAAGTGTCCGCGCGCGCTCTTTTTGGAAATGCGCGCACTCTTTTGCCCAAATGCGCGCGCTACCTTCAAGTTTGTGCAAATCTATGTATTAGTATATATACTCATACTCTCACTGCCCCCTCAGCTCAGCCTGAAGCTGACCATGGACATTGGACACTGTATGGTCATTGTCCAATAATACTAGCCAGAATACCAGCAGCTTTCAGCCTGACATAATTGATTCAGAACTGAGTATTACTCACTATATACTAGTATAAGGGCATCTGCATAATGGCTGCAAACAAGACTTCAGTATACTCATTGTCTGACATTCACCAGCAGTAATGCTAACTAGATATTCAAGCTTGTATATGCATGCATATATGGCTCAGTAATCTTGTCAGCATGGGGTCAGGCCAGAGGGTACACGAGAATGGTGGGAGTGGGACTCGTGCCAGTCCCACTCCCACCTGATCTGTGGGACTGAGTGCGCCCCAGTGGGATTCAGCCCACATTTGATTGATTCTGAATCAATAAATGAGAGATGTAATCAATCATGGCACTGCGCAGGGCGAGCGGCTGCCCGCGGCAGCGTGGGGTCTGGGGCGAAGCCCCGGCCGCCGCGGCCGGCGCCACAATCTAGTGTGAAAGATGTTATTTTCAAAGGCAAAAAATAGAGAAAAAGTGAGAAAAAAATATTAAATGCTCCGCGCAGCGGGCCCCGCGGCGAGCGAAGCCCCCGGCAGGGTGGGTCCAGGGCAACGCCCTGGTTGGGGTCCGGGGTGAAAAACCCCGGCCGTCGCGGCCGGCGCCGCAACCCGATCAAAGTTATTCAAATTTCAGCAACTGTGGTGATCCGTCGAGTCCCACCAAACACCACTTTAATCGCTCGAATCCCACCAAAACGCCTTAGCCGGTGTCAATCATCTCCGGGAGTGGGACTGGCGCGAGTCCCACTCCCACCAAACTCGTATATACTCGTCAGGCCAGCCTCTGACTCTGAAGGGAGTCAATTCATGTGATGTCAGAAGGAAGCCATGTACACCAGAGTTACTACTAGTCAGAAAACTTCACTAGGGAGAGTTGGAATCTACAAGTTGTAGAAAAGAAACAGTAGCAAAAGAGTGCGCGCATTTCCAAAAAGAGCGCGCGCGGACACTTTTCCCGCGCCATCTTTTGGTATCCGTGATTTACCGGGAAAATCACTAAATCCGGCCCAAAAGAGCGCGCAACATCAAGAGCGCGCGGTAAAAATTAAATGTGCAATTGGACTGCCATAGTCTTCAAGTTCGGACAGCGCGCGACCGCCACCGTGACAGCGCGCACGGATGGCGAGCACGCGGAGCCCGGAGCGCGGTCCGGCCGCCGGGACCGTTAATAGCGGCGGGGCCCGATCGGCTGGCGCGCTGACACGGCACTGGCGGCCGGTACGAGTACGTCATCGCGCGCGTGCAGTTCAGCCTGGGGGCCTCCGTCGACTGGCCGTGGCCAGGCCTAGGGGAGGGAGGGTTCGAGAAGAGAACGTTGACCTCCCCGTGTAGTATCGGCGACGTAGGGTAATAATTAATTGTAAACATTTACAACTTGAATTTAAGCTGGTTTCTACCCGTTCCCTTTAGCTTCGCTGGGGTTGACCGTGGAACAGGAAAACACACTGGACGAATTCTTCTTTAAGCAGGCAGGTAGTCGATACACTCCGTCATATTACGTTACTCCCCAGGCGCCGGGGCTAGGTACATACAGCGATAGTTATACGGGTTGATACAGCATGAGATGACAGTGAGAGGAGACGAGAGCAGGCAGGCAAGACAGCGGGTCCGTGAGATGAGATGTAGACGTAGCGCGCGGCGTAGCAAGACGACAGAACAGAAAGAAGAAAAGCAGAGAAAGGAAAAGGAAAACAAGAGCAGAGCACGCTACCCGATGACGTGCGTCCCGTGCCCATACACCGGCATCCCGTGCCCATGCGCGCCGTGGTGCGCGCCATGCCCGCCATGATGTCCATGCTGGCTGTGTTGGTGGTGCTGCCCCCCGGCATGCTGGCCGTGCATCTGGTGCGCATGCCCATTATGGCCGTTCATCATCAGCCCGAGCCCCATCCCGACGCCCACCGGCATCATCGCGTACCCGCCCATGTCCTGCGGGAAGTACCCCCCGTACCCGCTCCACTCCCCCGGGCTCCCCGCCGGGCTCCCGCCGCCGCCCCCATTGCCGCCGTTGCCGTTGCCGTTCCCGGCGCCGGGCGGGCCGTGCGTGTGGAACGCGGGCGAGCCGCCGCCAGACACGGACGCCGACGCCGACGCGGAGGAGTGCGGCGACCCGGGGCCGGCGAGCGGCCCGGCCCCGGCGAAGGACGCGGCGGGCGACAGCGGGGAGAGCAGCGTGTTGCTGCCCGTGCCCGGCGTGGGGTGCGAGCCCGCGCTCGACGCGGTGCCCGGCGCGCCGCCGTCGTCGAGCGCGGACACGGGCGGGAGGTCGTACGTGTCGGGTCTGCAGAGAGATATTTAAGATAAATATATTTTACGGAGAGAGAGGGGGAACGCACCCCAGCACGCGCGCGAGCTCGGCCATGCGTCGGTACACGACACACCGATTATGGCTGTGCGCGGCCATCGCGCCGTCGAGCGCGCCCGCGAGGCCCGCGACCGCCGGCCCGCCGCGGCACGCGCAGTACTCGTCGAGCGCGTCGTGATCGCCGCCGGCGCCGGCGCCGACGCCGAAGAAGCGCGGCGGCGCGCTCGCGGGCGGGGGCGACGCGCTGAAGCGGTACAGCCCCCCGCCCGCGCCCGTGTCCTCCGTCTTGATCGGCGGGAGCAGCGTGCGCTGCGGGTGGATGGTCGCCGCCGGCGGGTGCGCCGAGGAGGAGGAGAGGTGCGCCGAGGCGGAGGAGAGGCCCGGGGAGGAGAGGCGCCGCTTCGCCGGGGGCGGGCAGTGCTTCGACGCGCGCGAGTGCCATTTCTCGGCGGGGTCGCCGTCGCGCAGCGCGGCGTCGGCCCAGCGCGGGTGCGGTTTGCCTGGGGGTGGGAGTGAGTGATGTAATGGAGGATAAGGGACGCATGACGGGAGGTAAGTATAATAGTGGAGGGATGTGGTAAGGCGGGAGCGTGCGATGTGGGCGGCCAATTGTGATGTGGCGCAAGAAACGATAAGGCGAAAAGACATACCGCGCAGCTCGCGGACGAGGCTCTCCAGCTCCGCGATGCGGTTCCTTAAACGCGTGCTCTCGTCGATCGACGGGTCGTCCCTGCATTCCCTCAGCCCCGGCACAAATATTTACACAGAGAGAAGAAAGGCCACGCACCGCAGCGCCGGGTCGTCGATCTCGTACACGCACAGGCCCGTCAGGCCGAGCTGGATGCACCGCTGGCACGGGCGCTTGCGGTCGCACTGCAGGCGTTTATTTTCTTTGCTTTTTTTTTGAGATGGAAAATGGGCGACGCACCTTGCGCTTGGAGGTGTGGCAGTTGAGGCAGCTCTGCGTCGTGCGGTTGCGGCGGCGTTTTCTGCGGGCGGTCAGCGTCAGCATCGGGGGGAGGGAGGGGAAGCAAAGAGAAAGGGTCAGGGTCGGAAGTGCGTGGACGGACGGCGTTGATGCGTGATGCGTGTCGAAGGAAAAGAAAAGGTAAAATAAAAAGAAAAGAGGTAAAATAAAATAAAATGGACAATGACAAGCGACGATGGACAATGGGAAGGAAATGAGTCAACGACCCGCGCTAAGCGCCCACAAAAAAAACGGCGGAGGAGGGCGCGGAAGATAACGAAAGGGACACCCACCTGTGGTCGGTGTCGAGCGCGAACTCCATGTCCATGTCCTCCGTCTTCGTCTTCGTTATCTGGCTATTCGTCTGGCGGAACACGTCGAGCGGCGTGGGGAGGAAGATCGTCGTCGTCGTCGGGCTGTCGTCGGGGGACGGCGAGGGGAGCATGCACGGGGCGCGAGCAGTGAGCGGTTCGCGGCTACGGCTACGGGCAGCAGGGGGGCAGGGCAGCAGGCAGACTCGACAGTCGCACGGGGGATTCGCGAGAACCCCCACCCACCCATCCACCCACCCGTTAAGTACCCCGTCACCCGTCACCCCGTCAGTGCCTGCCAGGGCCTCGGGCATACCGCAGCTTACGACACGCCTGCCTTCCCATCTTGCGAGATTCTGGTGGCTGCGAATCGCCGGATGCGATCGGGGTGCGAGGTAAATCGACAGTCACGGATAACACCTGTGACGGGCGAGCGATGGGCCGATGCATCTCAGATCGCCGGCACCCCGATCGCTGGCGTGGGAAGGGGAGGGCGTCTGCTATTTCCGTCCGATTCCCAAATCCGGTGGGTGGGTAGGTAAGGGGGATGTGTCATGCGCCGCGCGTTGGCTGGATAGACGGAGCAGGGACGGGGAGGGAGGGAGGGAGGGAGCGCCGTGCACGCCGGAGCGCGCGGCGGCGGCGGTGGGGGCGGATCAGGGCACGTTCCCGCTCCCGGGCACGAGTGTGTTTGTCAACAAAGCGTAGTGTACGTACGGAAAAAGCGATGCAAATCATAGGCAACCGTGGCCTGCCAATGGGTAATGTGGATGCGCAGAGGGGAGGGCTCGCGGCAGCACCAGCATAAGGCGGGGGGTCCACGATGGAGGAGCCAAACCGCATGTCCGTGCGCACAAGGGCGTCCGGGACGAAAAGCCAAAACGGAATCGAGACGGAAGGGGACGAGTCAGACGGCCCGCCATCCGTATCCGTATCCGGCGATCCGCAAAAGTATGCGCAACAGCATTGACACGCAGGCGCACTAGAAGGGCGAGCCACGGACGAGCCAAACCAAGCCGCCCGCCGCGGGCGCGACCCGAGCCGGGCTGGCCACGTAACAGGCAGGCACGCTCGCGCACGCGAACTTGGAAGCAGGAGAAGGAAGCCATGGGACATGACACGGGTAGCGCGTAATGGCAATGCGGAATGCGTAATGGAGTGCATGGCTGCCTGCCCGCGGAAGGGGGAGGGGAGGGAGGAAATGGCGATCCAGCGCAGCGAAGCGCGCAGACCTGCATTTCGCGCAGGCTTCAGGCTAGGCTGCGGACCGCGAAGGGGGAGCCCGAGGTCCAGGAGGGGAAGCGAGCAGCACGCGTCCGAGCTGGCGCGTTTCGACCCCCACAACACGTCGCCCCGCCCCGCTCGCGCCCGAGCACGTCCAGCGCCACGGAAACGGAACGCAGAAAAAAAAAGACGGAAACAAATGCCGTCATCGTGACGCGTGACGTGACGCTGACGTCGCCAAGGCGGGCCCAGGCGACGGGTAAATTTGTCTTTCTCTCTTGTCTCCCATGTCGGTGCCCCCCGCCACCACGGAATATACGTCGCCCGACGAGCCCGACCCGCTGTCGCCCGGCGAGGACGAGCTGTCTGCGGCGCCCGAGGCGGAGCCGCGCCCGGGGATCGACGGGCCTGTGCGCTGTGAGTAGGGTTGCTCGTCATGGGAGAGGAGGAGAGCTGACTGGGATAGGGTACGACGCGGACCGGACGGAGGCGTACACGCGGATTGTGCCGTTCCAGGAGCGGCACGACACGTCGGTGGAGTTCTTCTACAAGCCGGTGACGCTGAGCGCGCTCGCGGGCGTGCTCGTGGTGCTTGCGTACACGGCGATGACGCAGGACGTGCTCGAGGAGGGCGGGGACAAGCGGCGCATGGGCGTGTACGCCGCGGTCTCGTTCTTCCTCGTGTTCTCGACGCTGCAGTTCCGGGACGGCCCGTTCATCCGGCCGCACCCGGCGTTCTGGCGCGTGCTGCTCGGCGTGAACCTGCTGTACGAGCTCGCGCTGGTGTTCCTGCTGTTCCAGGACCTGCCCACCGCGCGCCGCCTGATGCTCCTCCTCGACCCCGCGCTCAACGTGCCCCTCCCCGAGAAGTCCTACGCCGACGACTGCACCTTGACGCCCAAGACCCTCTGGAACGCCCTCGATGTGTTCTGTCTGGCACACGCGCTCGGGTGGTTCGGGAAGGCGATGATCCTGCGGGACTACTGGTTCTGCTGGATCCTCAGCATCGCGTTCGAGCTTGCAGAATATTCATTGCAGCACCAGCTGCCGAACTTCGCGGAGTGCTGGTGGGACCACTGGGTGCTCGACGTGCTCCTCTGCAACTGGGCCGGCGCGCACCTCGGCATGGCCGTCTGCACCTACCTCGAGGTCAAGCCGTACGAGTGGCGCGGCCTCCGCCAGACGCGCGGCTTAAGGGGCAAGGCGAAGCGCGTGGTGGCGCAGTTCTCGCCGCACGATTTTACGGCGTTCGAGTGGGGCACGGCAAGGAGCTTCACGCATTACTTCAGCGTGGTGCTGCTGCTCGCGGTGTTTTTGGCGGCGGAGCTGAGTCCGTTCTACCTCAAGGTGTGTGGGTTGGTTTTTTTTCTTGATTGATTATCTGATGCGCGGCAGAGCCTGCTGTGGATGGAGCCCGACCACCCGATCGTCGTCCTCCGCCTCGCGTTCATCTTCCTGTGCGCGCTCCCCGCGGTCAGGGAGCTGTACCAGTACGTCAACGACCCGCGGTACGTGTTTGGTCCTTGTTCCCTATCCCGTTCTGCTCCCTTTCCCTTTCCTGTCGTTCCGGCCCGGACATCGGGCGCTGCCTGTTTGGCGTTCCGCGTATCCTGTTCGCTCGCGGGCTTCGCTTCATCGCCACATAGGCCATAGATCTCGGGCGGACGGGCGTTCTGCCCGTGCCCCGTTGGGCCCGAAGGAGGCCGGCCCGGGGTGGGGGGGCTTGGCTGCGCCGGGCTGTTGGGCTGGCGAGAAAGACGAAGGGCAAGGGCAAGGGCGCTTCTGGGCCTGCCAGCTGGCAGCGTCAGCGTCATGGCCGGGAGGGGCTTCATTTCATTTCCGTGTTTGGGCAGGCCGGATTTGGGAGCCCCTTCTTGATGTGCTGTTGTTGCCTATTGCGGCGCCCCTGGTTGCGTGGGCTTCGCGCGGGGCGTGGGCGTGGGCGTGTCGCTGTGTATGTGCTGGCGCGACGGCTATGGCTAGCGGCTGTGGATGTGGATGTGGATGTGGCTGCCAGGATGGCAGCTGGCTGATATCGATGCATGGCTATTGCTATGGCTATGGCTAGCGGCGAATCGTTAATAACGCTGCAGCCTGCTGGCTAATGCTAACGCTAATGGTTAATGGCTAATGGTGGGGGTGCTTATTGTTTCTAGTCGCTGGGTTCGCGACTAGCTGGCTGCAGCAGCTGCGCAGGTGGATCCACGCCCGGCGTCTGTGCTCCCCCGGGCACGTGTCCTTGCCATTTCCCTTGCCCCCTCCCCTCCCTTTCCCCCTTCCCTCCCTGCTCCTTCCCCATCCGCTTTCGGGCCCGTGCTGACTCTCCCCTCCTAGGCGCGCGGTGCGCATGGGCCAGCACGTGTGGCTCCTCCTCGCGACGGTGCTCACCGAGCTGCTCGTGATCGCCAAGTTCGCGGGCGACCCGCGCAGCGGGATCCCGCCGCTCCTGGACGCGCCGCGCGCGGTGAAGGCCGGGTGGGCCGCGGGCGGCGCGCTGCTGGTGGTGTACCCCGCGGCAAGGTTCGGGGTGCCCGGGGTGCGGAGGTGGGTGGCGGGGAAGGGGGGGCGGGGGCGGGGGCGGAAGGGGCGGAAGGGGGAGTAGGAGTGGTTGGTGGTAATGTTAGTGACCAGAACTTAGTGGTCGCCCCTGCTCTATTATGATAATTGTTGTGCATACACGATTTCCTAGCGGCGAGGGGGGCATGGCGACGTGTCGTCGGGGGCGGAAAACCGAACGAACGGCCGCGCGTTCGTCCCGGCTTCGACGAGATAGGTGTCGGTGTTTCTTTTTTGGTTTTTTCAAAAAAAGAAGAAAAAGCAAGGGTTGGTGGGTGCCCATAATATCCATCGATATCGTCCCTTCTTTCTTTTGGATGCCTGGTTCTGCTGCTATACTTGATTATTCAATTGGTTTCAAATTTCCGAGCGGCGATCGCGGCAATTGCATGGGACATAGCACTGTTACTTTACTCCTGTGGCGTTGATTTGCGAGTGAGATGGCAATTGGACAGTTGCGCAAATTCCGCCCGCGCATGTGATATTCCAAAACGGGCTCAATAGAGTAGCGGGTTGATCGAGGATCAAAATGTCATTGCTGAGTAAACAATATTATACTATATGCCCCGACCCCGACGTCCTCCGCGGCTCATTTGCCCGACACCCCGTCCACGCCCAAGGCCAGCAGATTGATGTCCGCTCAGCAACGCACTGTCAGCGACAGCTCCCTCAGAGCCACTACTATGGCGGTGCTTCCGCTTATCCTTCTTCCCAATCGACTTGTTCTTGGCTGGTGGTAGCATGGCCATCCGTGTCAACTCCCAGTCTTTTTGATGGGGTGGGTTTCGAGGTAGTGGCCGCCAGCGATAGGAAGGCAGTTGCATCTTCCTTCTCATCGTCCTGAATCTCGATAAGTTCGGTAGGGTAGCGCGTAGACATGTGAGTGCTGTCAGAAGCACCAGCAAATCGTGAAATAGTGGCTTCTTCGTCAAGACAGTGCACGCCGTATTCGCGGATGAAGATGGGCCTCCCACGATGGATGCGATGCTCATAGTCGGCTGCAACTTCAATCCAGCAGTTATAGTCGGTAGAATATGACTCGTAACGACGAATTTGAGCCGGACGGCACCATCGTGCACCGTCGGAGAGATTCTGGATGGCTTGAATATGAGGAGGAGCGCCGCTCGCACGCCAGGTGACCACGATAATGTCGTGCGCGGGGGGAGGGGAGATTTCGGGGGAAGGGGAAGGAGTATTGACGATGGGGAGGTGGGCAGAGGCTTTGGCGAGGTTTTTCTGAGCAATTGACCGTTGTCGCAAAAAAGCGTCGTCTGGATGCAGGCCAAAAGGCGATTTGAAGTCTTGCAAGGCGTTGGCTAGAATATCAAGACGGTCGGAGGGTGTGGCGGCGCGTTCATTGCTGGAAGGGCCTGAGACCAGCGAAGGTTGGCAGTGGCTCCGGCGGGAACATCCACCGCTCGCACGACAGCATGGTGCACACATACGACCCCTTCTGTTCTTGCAGTCGCCGCTAACCTTCGTTTTGCGACAGCCTCGCGCAGCACAGCGGTTGACCGGTAACTCGTCATCGTCGTTCTCGCTCGTGTCAGCACCTGCAGTGGCGGCAGGAGCAACACCCTTGGGGAATGCCGAGTGGAAATGAAAGCCTGAGCACTGGGAAGCCATATTAGGTGTATACTAGAAGGTTCAATAACGCACCGCGAGATACCAGCGCCCAAAGTTTTTTTTGGAAGGGTTGTCGCAGTACTTGAGCTGCAGCAGTTGGCTACAGTCCAGCTCGCGGCAGTACTTGGGTGGGTTGTTGATGTTGTAGCCTCTCCGTTGGGAGTGAGGAGGCATGTCGGAGGGTGGCGCGGAGGAGGAGGGTGGCGGCATCGAAGAGGGAGAGAGGTGGGTGACCGACTGTGACGTGCTGTCCAATGACTCTCTGATCCGGCGTCGGAGTACGGACCGCGATTGTATTCCACCCGTTTTAGGTTTTCACATGCGCGGGCGGAAATTCAATAATACAATTGGACAAGGCGGTGTGCAGACAGACTGCGTCGGCACATGTGCAGCGCCGTCAGTGGTAAGCAATTTACATGCTCTTGCAGTCGGGGACCGTGCCGAGCGGTCGTCCCGGCTTTGGGTGGGGAATTACTTACTGTTCTTTTTTTTTTTTTGAAAAGTGCTTTGTATCTTTGGTTAGGTATTGACAGATCCACTGGGCTATTCCCACACTTTGTCCCTGGGAAGGGTCAGCTACAGAAAAAAATTGATATTTTTTCTTCCCTTCTCACTTTTGTTTTAGACAAAAAATTCAATCCAAAAACTTCTAATTTTCCCTCCTTGGAAAAAATGTTAAGTTTATATTAAGAAAATAATTAGGAAAAAAAGTGATCAGCTGTACAACAATTTTTTTGTTAGTCAACAATTTGAGGTATTTGACTAGCAAAAACACTACACCACCAAATGGCACACAGCTGACAATCAGCTGCATTACCCAGCTGTCCACAGCCAGCATTGAATCTGGCAGCAGCTGTATGCACACAGGGCCATTTCCGGAATTTTTCCTAGACAAAAGTTAGCACTAAAATGGAAAGATTCCTTTGTATAGAAACTATAGAAAAAATGACAAGTTTCTCCAAGGAAAAAATCTAATAAAAAACTGTCACAAAGAGTTTTTCAAAGGAAAAACTGTCACAACTAGTTTCTGTAAAGCTTTTGTTATAGAAAAAAACTGTCACACCAAATTTTTGTAAGGGAAAAACTGTCACTGTGACAGTTTTTCCTTTGCAAAAACTCAGTGTGACAGTATTTCTTGGAATAAAATTGACTACAAAACTTCAGGGTTTCTGAAAACAAAAACTTACAATTAAACTTCAACTTTTGTCACCAACTTTTTCAAAGCAAAAATTTTAGTAACAGTCCTGTGACTGGCTGTGCATGCACAGCTTTGTTGGTGACAAGCACTCAATCCTTACCAACATTACTATCAAGTACCCCCCCCCCCTCAGATGCTGTTACAGTTGGAGACAGACAGCTGCGTGTTCGCTCCAGCTTTGGGCGTGAAAGCAGAGACATTGCACATTTTTTTTGTTAGAGTATGGGCTCGGCTGTCCATATAGCCGGCGCGACACTTGTTGTCGCGCATCAATATCTCCTCCTTTATATCTGTTTCCTTTTCTGTTTGAGTACAAATATCTGACTAAGTATAGGAGCATTCCTCAGTCATACACTAAGTACATGCCCCGACTGAGGTATGCTCCTCGTTGTCCTACTCCCATACACTTTACTTATAAAGTATATCAGCTCTTATTTCTACAGGTTAACATATCGAGTCGTACACTACGTGCCCCAACTGAGCTCTTATTTCTACATTTTTTTTCTAGTAGAGTGCTTATTGATGATATTTTTAAGTGTCTTAAGTTTGGTGTCTACAGTGCCGCTGCTTATGACATGTATGCTGTTTTTACAGAGTTTCCTCAGAGTTCAAAGTCTCTTCTTCTTCTTCTCCCTCTCTGGTTGTGCTGTAGCCTTTGGTTGCAGTTAGAGCAATTTGAAGGGCTCTTGCTTTTTCTTGTTCTTTCTCACACCAGTGAGAAAGCTTGTCAATGGCTCCAAGTTCCCAGCGGCGATTGCGGTAGATTGCATGGGACACTGTTACTTTACTCCTGTGGCGTTGATGGTGGTAATAGGAGAAGGCGGTGTGCAGACAGACTGTGCAGCTCCGTCAGTGGTACGTAGCAGCTGCCGTGACAAGCGGCCGCGCGTTCGTCCCGGCTTTGGCAAGGAAGTTGTTTTTTTTGTCTTCCTCTTGAAAGGGAAAAAAATGTTTGTGTCTTTGGTTCGGTATCTACAGGTCCACTGGGCTGCTCCCACAACTTTTTCACTGCGAAAACTGAAGCTCACTTTGCTGGGATAAAAGCTCAATCAAACACTTCTAATCTTTCCTCCTTGAAAGAAATGTTGAGTGTATGAAAGAAAATAATTGGAAAAAAAAGTGATCAGTTGTAGAACAATTGTTGCTGGTCAACAATTTGAGGTATTTGACTAGCAAAAAGATTGAACAACATGAACTGTGCATGCAGAGGTTTGTTGGTGGCAAGCACACAATGTAGGGTGTTGTGAGTAATTCAAAAAGAATTACTAGAGATTATCAGCAATAAATTTTCGCAAATTCTCGATACAATTGATGTAAAAGATGCACAAAATTTGAGCTCCACTTGACAAAATCTGTCTGAAAAATGGCAGTTTCATCACCGGCCAGGATGCGATAATGTGACTGAGGTTGGCCGGCATCCTTCTAAAATGGGACCAGTGCATCTTTCGTTTTGCTACAACCCCCCTCCCTTCACACTGCTATGCCTCCGGGCAGCTTGGTTATCCATGCAATATCTTGTCGTAGACTCATAGGCAACACCTTGATGCGACAAGCAGCTGGTATAGTTTTCAGGCACCATAATCTTGTCACTCAGACCGGGCGGCCCCGCATTCAAACGACACGACCGAACACCTTCTGGCTGCTCAAAATAATTGACAGAAAAAAAAAGGGCTGGCTCAGAAATTCTTTTCAAATTTTCAGAGTGGTTACAAAAGTTTTGAAGGTCATTTTTGGCTGCTGCAGCACTGCTAATGATCTCTACTCACAGGTATTTCGAAACCAGTTTAGAAACAGCCCTGTTTACAATCAATGGTACCCCCTTGATAACCTTCCCAATGGTACTTCAATCATGCATTTATCTTGAGTAGTTATAAAGATAGAGGCTCATCAGTTGTATATCAGTTAGTGATTAGTCAGTGCTGCCACAACTATTTAGCTGCCACTACAGATCACTTAATGAAAGTTGTTTATATAGTCAAAATACAGAACTTTGATTTTTGTGACAATCTGTGACATCTTTGATGATTATACTAAGAAAGTTCCTTTTTAGGAATTCATCACACTAGTCACTGAATATAATACTATATACAGGCAGTAGGACCAACTAAAGTATCTTGTAGCAGAATTCCCTTTTTGGGACAGTATGTTATACAGCCCTACTTGTGGTTCAAATTATTTATTGCTATTCATTTCCTAGGTCTTGCCATTTACTTCAGTTACTT